AGTTAAACTCTGTATTATTGTTTTTAAATACTTCTTTATATTATTATAATAGTTTGATTTGCGAACTTGTGCATTATTATCAAAAAATGTTGCTATAATCGGTAGCCCTTTCTCTAATAAGAGAAACTCTTTATACAGTTTTGTAGCTTTTAGTTTGTTACCAGTTAGAGTAATATCAGATTTAAATCCTGCAAAAATTAAAAACTATAATTAGTAATATTAAATTTTATAAAATATTTAATTATTTATTTATACATACATTTTTTACTATTTGTGATTCTTTAAGCTTTCTTTTTTGTTTATTATTTCTTTTTCCGTCTCATTACTTTCATCTACCTCGTTACTTTCTTCTTCTTCTTCTACTTTATTACTTTCATCTTCAACTAACTTCTTTTTATCTTCTCTCTCTATCAATTCAACCTCAACTTCATCACTTTCATCAACTAACTCTTTATCTTCTCTCTCTATCAATTCAACATTTTTATTATTTTCTTCTTTGGACTCTTTTTCTTCAGACTCCTCTTCGTTACACTCATTTTCACTTTCCTTTGCCATACTTATTTTATTTTTTCCTTTTTTTGGTTCAAGATTTTCCTCATTATTTTTAAATTTTTTGATAAAAAATATAAATTAAAATATATTAACAAAAGATAATCTTTGCTTTTGTTAAGCAAAATAAAATACAAAAATTATATACCTAATTCGAATGAATAATATATTACAATTGCATGTTTATTATCTTTATTACTAGGATTTTTACTTATAATAAGTATTTTATCAAAGTTATCAGTTATCTCAGTCTCAAAGCTGTCTTTTTTATATGGCCTCACCGTTTTAAAATAAAATTGGATTTGCTTATTGTTTGCATATGTAATATTTATCTCTTTATCAAAAAATTGGATCTTCTGGATATATTGTTCTGAATTATATAGAGATATTAAATATAATAATCTCATAATTTCTTGTTCACGTGCGAATTTTATAAAAATTTAGATATTCACAAAAAACAAATTTTGATTTTGCTCAATTTGATACAGTGACTAAATGTACCCATTTTTAATAATGTTTTATGAAGAAAAATGTGAAATAAAAAAAAAACAGGCTGTATTTATATTAAAAAAAATACTAGTATATTATGAGAAAAAATATTATAATAATATTGTCATTACATTAATTAAGCTTTTCGATAACTAATATAATATTTAAGCTCAAAGCTTTTTTGATAGCTAATATAATATTTAAGCTCTTTCAATATGCAATATTTAAGTGCTAATATATATAATGTCTAATGATGATAAGTTAATTAGTTGTTATAATGCTAAATATAATATAATTAATAGTTAATATATAATAAAGTATTTTTATTTTAAAAAAAAAGTAAATTTTAAAAAAAAAGAAATTTACCAGTAAAAACTATAGCATATATCATTGTACTTTGAATATATTGTAATCTTTGTGCTTTCGTCATGCAAAATTTAATATTAAAACCTAATTAATTATCAATAATTTTATTATATATCCAGGATTTTTAATAAAGAATCGCTAGCCTTTCCATTATCGCCGAACCAAACTGGCTTTCTAGATTATAATATTTAAATAATCAAGTATTTTATTATTTTAAACAGAATATTTATATAGCGAATTGGTAAACTACCTTGGATATTACCAAGAAATTTAATTGTATAAAGACATAAGTACAGATTATGAAGATCGTTTACAAGAGAGAATATCTCAGTTGCTTGTTTAATAACAATAATATATATAGTAGATAAAAGCTTAGAATAATGGTGATACTCGTGTATTTTGAATAAATATATTTACTAACCAAAGGCTTTTAACCATACAGTGCTGCATACAGTTTTCTGGGTATTTTACAAAAAAACTGATCTAGATTGAATAATACCCCCCCAAATATCGAGAGATAGAAGAATAATACAAATAATCATTACTGAGTACTATATACTTTGTTATTTTTTTTTTCAGTATTAAGGTGAGGTCTTGCCTCGTATCTTTTATTAGATGTTAAGTTTTTGCCTTATATGGCT